CCAAAAAACGGAGCTGAGGCAGCACGGGCTCTGTGGCCTCAAAGAGCTTCCCACAAAACGGTTCCCAAAGTCAGGCCATCCTGGTCAAAATCTGACCCCCAACTCTCCCACACACACACACCACCAATAGGAAAGCAAGGGAGAGGCGCTGTAGGGGACACACAAGGAGGTTTGGCCGCCGTCCGCGCACCCCTAGAGGCCGCTGTGGCACCCACGTACCTGTGCGCAAGCCACCTGGGGGCACGACCCCGTGCTCCCCCGGGGCAATGGTAGGGGCAGGGGCGGGGCAGTGGCAGGGGCAGGGGCGCGGCGCAGGGGGGTGGGCGGCCTGAGGAGCAGAGGGAGGGCGGCTGCGCATGTCCACTCCCCCACTCGCCGCCGGGGGGCCCCGGGGAGTAAGCGTAGCCCCCTGCCAGGCCTGTCAGAGCGTCCCAGCGCGCCTGCCTCCCCACGGACACAGGTGAGCGAGGCACCCGTGCCCCCGGCCCCGCCAGGCCTGGGGGTATCCCCGCGCCGGCTTTAGGGGACCCTCCCCCAAGCGCCAAGCCTTCTCCCGGGCGAGCGGCCCCTCACCCGGCCTGCCGGGAGGGGTGTTGGCGCTGGGCTGGAAGAGGGGCCGCCTCACCCGGAGTCGGGGTGGGTCTTGACAGGATGCCTGGGCGACACTGCTCACACGGAGTCCGAAGTGCAGCCCTGGTTTCGGGGACCCCTCCGTACTCCGAGCTTTGCACCTCACCCGGCCTCGTCCGGGAAAGCGCGACCTGGCGAGGCTGCCCTGACCCCAGATCCCGGCTCCTCAGTGCGCCGGCCTCGGTGAGCTGGACGAAGCCCCCCAACCTGGTCCCGGTGGCTCTGAGCGCGCAGCCACCGCCAGGAGCCCAGGGGACCCACCGGGGGCTCCGCGCCACTTGAGAGGACCAAGCCCCCCATCCCCGGCGCCTCCCGCGGGCTGAGACCCCGGGCCAGTGCCCTTGGCACGTGCCTCTGCGCCTCGTGGCTCCTCCCGGGAGTGGGGCCGTGAGGACCGGGGCCGCGGCCTCCCTGCGCGTCGAGGGAACTGGGCGAGTGTGGCCCGGTCCCGCCAGGCAGCTGGGATGGGAGCTGCGCTCGGCCACTCGGCCAGTCCCCGGGCTCCCCTTCCTCACCGTCGGCGCCCCCAGACTCCAGCCGCTTGGACTCCGACTTAAGAGGCAGCCTCGACCCCGCCTCTGCCTTCTGACCCATCCCTAAAGATGGCCGGGAACCCCTACAGGACCCCCAGAAGCCGACCTCTCCCTCCACGTGCGCCACCGCCTCGCCCCTCCCCGCAGTCCTCCAGGTCTTCTTCCTGTCCCCAACGGTCTGGGACCCCCAAGCTCCATCCTCCGCTTCCTGCTCTCTTCATCCCGCCCCCGCTCCTTCTGGGCCAGCGCCTCCAGTGACTATTCCCAGGGATCCCTCAGAGCTGAGGACGCCGAGGCCACATCCCCATTTGGGACCTTGCCCCGACCCCGACCTCCGGATCTCCAACTCCACCAAACCTCGAAGCCACCATCTGCCCCCAAACTGTCGCTGCTCCAGGCTTTCGGAGGGGAGTCGTGGCAACAGCCATTAGGATGCACTAAGCGGGGCACTTCCTGAGCCCAAGGACACCGAGGGGCATTCACTGAGTGAATGGGGATGTGCTGCTAATAACTAACACTAATTGACCACCTGCCGTGTGCCCATCCTCTTCGAACATGCAACTTCCTTGTTCCTTATCTTGTTATTGTCTCTTTCTCTCAGCCAGAATCTAATCCTCACAAGGGCAGGGACTGGGGTCTGTTTTGTTAACTGCCACACCACAATGCCTGGCACGAAGGAAGATTCTTGAATTAATGAATGGAGATTAAATTATAATTTAAAAGCCTGGCATGAACTAAGCACCTTCTGCATGCTTATCACCTGCTACTGACATATAGTTCACTTTTTTTTTTTTTTTTTGAGATGGAGTTTTGCTCTTGTCCCCCAGGCTGGAGTGCAGTGGTGAGATCTCACCTCACTGCAAGCTCCGCCTCCCGGGTTCACGCCATTCTCCTGCCTCAGCCTCCCGAGTAGCTGGGACTACAGGCATCCGCCACCACGCCCGGCTAATCTTTTGTATTTTTAGTAGAGACGGGGTTTCGCCATGTTGGGCAGGCTGGTCTCAAACTCCTGACCTCAGGTGATCCACCTGCCTCAGCCTCACAAAGTGCTGGGATTACAGGCGTGAGCCATTGCACCCAGCCCACTTTTTTACCTAGTTTGTTGTCTCTCACCCCGACCAGAATATAACCTTCATGAGGGCTACAGTTTGTTGTCTATTTATTGCCCACCTCTATGTCCTTGCCACACAGTAGGTTCCCAATAAATGTATGTTGAATAATTAATAAAGACAACATTCTAATGATAATGGCTAACAGACCACGTAATTGACATATTTATTTGGTTTATTGTCTTATCTGCCTCTGCCTTTTAGAACATAAACCTTCTGGGGGTGGGAATGTTGGGTCCCTACTGTCTGGCAGGCACCGTGCTGGGCTGGGGTTCAATGGTGACCCAAACCGGCAAAATCCTGCACTCCCTCCATCATGGGGAGGAACTGCTAATGGGCATAGGCATTCTCTTCGGGGTGAGGAAAATGTTCTAAAATTTAGTTATGGTGATAGTTGCGCAACTTCATGAATATGCTAAAACCCGTTAAATTGGACACTAGCTGGCTGAACTTGATGGGATGTAAATTACATCTCAATAAAGCTGTTTGGGAAATCCAGACTTCACAGTTGTTGGTTCGTGTGAGGAGGGAAGGAGAGATGGGGGGGACGTGGGGCAGGGAGAAAACAACATAAATCATATATATATAGCACGCAAATTGGAAGGTGATCAGCACACAATAGGCACTCGGTAAATGTTAAAATAATGACACCCCACTGTCTCCTTGCCCTCACATGGTCTCCCCTAACGTATTGCCTGTTGTCTTGCTTCTTCTCTTCCCACTTGCAGAGCCCGCTGCCCACGTCTCTTCCCTGAGCTGCCTGCTGGGGTCATGGAGCTGCCAACAAAGCCTGGCACCTTCGACCTGGGCCTGGCCACATGGAGCCCTTCCTTCCAGGGGGAAACCCACCGGGCACAGGCACGCTGCAGGGATGTTGGCAGGCAGCTGCCTGAGTACAAGGCTGTGGTGGTGGGCGCGAGTGGCGTGGGCAAGAGTGCGCTGACCATCCAGCTGAACCACCAGTGCTTCGTGGAGGACCACGACCCCACCATCCAGGATTCCTACTGGAAGGAATTGACCCTGGACAGTGGGGACTGCATTCTGAATGTGTTGGACACAGCAGGGCAGGCCATCCATAGGGCCCTGCGTGACCAGTGCCTGGCTGTCTGTGATGGTGTGCTGGGCGTCTTCGCTCTCGATGACCCCTCGTCTCTGATCCAGCTGCAACAGATATGGGCCACCTGGGGCCCTCACCCCGCCCAGCCCCTTGTCCTCGTGGGCAACAAGTGTGACCTTGTGACCACCGCTGGAGATGCTCATGCCGCTGCTGCAGCCCTTGCACACAGCTGGGGGGCCCACTTCGTGGAGACCTCAGCCAAAACACGGCAAGGCGTGGAGGAGGCCTTTTCTCTGCTGGTCCATGAGATCCAGAGGGTCCAGGAGGCCATGGCCAAGGAGCCCATGGCAAGGTCCTGTAGGGAGAAGGCCCGGCACCAGAAGGCCACCTGCCACTGTGGCTGCTCTGTGGCCTGAAGGTCTTGGCCAAGAAATGTAGACCTACCCCCAGGCCAGGGTGATTGTTTATTTGACATGAGACACCTGAAACAATTAGCTTTGAGGGACACATTCAGTATACTAGGGAAAGATGGACACCTCTCTTGTTTTCACTTGGTGAGGGGCTTTTTGGTAACATGGGAGTGCCTAATGTTGCTTTTGTGATGTCGAGAGATTTTGTGCAAAATTAAATAAATGGTGTTTTTGGTTTCAAAGCTGCCTCCGTGCTGAGTGTTGTGTGGGTGAGAGTGAGACTGGGTAGAATGTTACTTGAGTTGTGAGAATTCTTTCATTCAAGAAATTCAGGGGGAGCCCACGGTGTGCCAGGCTCCGCTTTAGATACAAGAGAGGTAGAGACAAACAAGACACTTAAAAATCCCTGCCCTGATAGATATGGTATCAGGCTAGACAGTGATAAAGGCTACGTGTTAAAGGCAGGTGAAGGAATAGGGTGACAGGTCCAGGAAAGCCTTCTAGAGAGTAGGTAACATCTGGACAAAAACTTGAAGATATCCAAAGGCAGAGGGACTAGCCAGTGCAAAGGCCATGGCTACAAATCAGCTGCTACCACAGCAACCCTCAGTATCTCCAGGGCCTGGAGCAAGAGTACAGGTAGGCCTCTACACTACATAACTAAATAGGTAAACAGACATTGCAAATCAAGCTTTACAAAGCAAATGAAATACATCCTATCCTAATTTGGCAAATACACTTTCTTGGTGACCTGGATATCCAGGCTCCAATTTCTCAGCCTTCTCAGAGTTCCCTGCCAGAATGTGCCTGTCTGCCAAAGAGTGTGCCTGTATTGGGACCTCCCGTTTCCCAGCGCGAAGTCCTCTCCCGTTCTCTCCCCCGCATCAGGAGGTGTTCATGTGTGCCTGTGACATCCCAGCCCGCACCTCAAGCTCTACTCCCGTGCCCCACAAAGCCACCCCTTGGCCCTCAGGAGGATGGTCCCTTGGAAGATGATGGTGCAGGCCCTGAAAGTGGCCTGAAAGCCTGGGATCCCCATACCCAAGTGAGGCCTAAAAGGGGGACACAAGATCCGCGTGGGCACTGCCATTGTCCATGTTGATGCCTTCCCCTCCACCTCAAGGAGAGACATAGACTGAGCAGGTGATTGCTCTAAAGTGCAGGACCCAGGGTAGGGGCTCCTGTCCCCTGGTCTAAGGGCAACCACCACCGTGGGCACCACCAGCCCCTAGAAACTGCCACTCACACAGACAAGCACAGAGCTGCTTCAGATCATGTTTATTGTGGGGCCGGGGGTAGGGATCCTCGGGTGGGAGGGCTGGTTGGCCGGGGTAAGTTGCTCTGGACGTGCTGGTGGGGAGCAGTCCTGGTGGCGGGATGGCGGGGGCACTCCTGGGTCCCAGGGTGCAAGGGATCCGGGCTGTGCTCAGGGTGGCAAGAGGCGGCGTGCAGGCACCTGGGGCGCCGGGGTCTCTAGGCGTTTCACGCGCAGCAGTGCCCCCAGCACGCCCTCAGGGGGCACGTCGGAGCCCACATCCTGGTCGGCGGCACGGCGGAGGCGGCGCGGGGCTGCCACCCCCTCGGAGTCCGCGCTTCCGGCAAGAATCCGTCCCAGCAAGTACCTGCAGGGCCGAGCGCAATGCAGTGAGGCTACGTCCGCGGTGGGGCATTCCCTGGCCCCACTCCCGAGGCCCAGAACGCAGGATCCACAACCACGTACTGCCTGGGGACAGGTTCCCTCCCCAAGGAGGCGTCCTCAGTCCACTGCTTTCAGGAGACAGCCGTCCCCGTCTTTCATCCCAGAAATGGTGGCTTCCCTGCCTCCCTCTCCCCTTTCCAGGACCTGGGGTCCACTTCCCCCACTGAGTACTCAGCTAGGCATCCTTGCCCCGACTCCCTGGATCCAGGACCTCACTCCCTCTTAGGGCCCCAAGACTTAGAGGTTCGCACTCCACGGGAGAAGCAGGCGTCCCAGTTCCTCTCCCTCGACCTCCCCGGACGGAGGCACCCGACCCCTCCCCACCCCCTGCTGGGCACCTCAGCAGCTCGGGGTCCACGTCGGGTGTCTCGTCGCCTGCCTCCTCGGCATCTGGGCCCGCGGGGCCGTCGTCGTAGACTGGGGGCCGGGGTCTGAGCGCTGCGGCGGGGACAGGCGCGGGGACAAGCTGGGCTGCGAGGGCGGCAGGGTCAAGGCGGGCGCGGAGCAGAGCGCGAGCTAGCTGCGCTGCAGGCGCGTCGGGGTCGTCGTCCAGGCCCAGAGCCGGGTCAGAGTTGCGGGGGGCGCCCCAAACACGCAGCAGCTGCGCCAGGACGCGCGCCTGCTGATCCTCAGCCTCCTGCGCCTCGGCCCGCGCCCGCTCCTGACGTTCGGCCTCCAGCAGATGCGCCAGAGCCCGCGCCAGCTCCTGCACCGCCCCCGCCGCCGCCTCACCTCGGGGCACTGACCGCCGGAAGCGGCGGGGAGCGCCAGTCTCAGCCAAGGGCGGCGACGCTGCGCTTAGGCCGCGGGGCTCCTGAGGGAAAATGAGGTGGGGGAAAAGAGTTTGTCAGCGTCTGTCGAGCCAGGGACCCCAGCCTGGGAAGCTCCGTGGGCCTCAAGCATCCCAGATGCCACCAAAAGCACCGTGACCATCCAAATACACCCGGACTCCCCTAAGGCCACTGGAAACCACCAAATATCTCCAAACACACTTAAGGCCACCAAAGATCCCCAGACACCCCCCCACTCCGCCCCACAGTGCGCCAGTGATCCCTTGGTGACTCTCATAATTCCTCCCTCCCCACCCCCACTCCTGGGGACCGAGTTTCTTTATAAGAGTAGCGATGGTAGATATGACCGTTACAGATTTTTCCATATTTAATATTGTGGACAACAGGAACTATATGAATAAACTTGTTCATATACCATTTGGCATGTGTACAAGTTCATCTGTAGAATAAATTACCCAATAACAAATTTTCAGTTCAAGCAGTTTTGAAACAATTTCCACAAGTTTAAAGAAATAAAAGAGGGTACCAATAATCTGAGCAAGGAATAAAAAAGATCATAAAAATGACTGTGAAGGTTTGGAAAAGAAACATACAGGCCACATATAAATATGTTTAAAAGGAGTGATGCCTGCAACACAAATAGCCAATAAAAGAGTAGTACACAGGGGCCGGGCGCGGTTGTTCACGCCTGTAATCCCAGCACTTTGGGAGGCCGAGGGGGGGCGGATCATAAGGTCAGGCGATCGAGACCATCCTGGCTAACACGGTGACAGCCCGTCTCTACTAAAAATACAAAAAAATTAGCTGGGTGTAGTGGCGGGCGCCTGAAGTCCCAGCTACTCAGGAGGCTGAGGCAGGAGAATGGCGTGAACCCGGGAGGCGGAGCTTGCAGTGAGCCAAAATCGCGCCACTGCACTCCAGTCTGGGTGACAGAGACTCCGTCTCAAAAAAGAAAAAAAAAGTAGTACACAGAAGATACAGAGAATTCCTAAACAGTAGTAAGAGAAAAACTCATACAGAAATAGAAAAAATACATGATCACCTATTTCACAAAAATGATTACTAAACATGAAAAATTGGGCCAGCTGTAGTGGTTCATGCCTGTAATCTCAGCACTTTGGGAGGCCAACGCAGGAAGATCGCTTGAGGCCAGGAGTTTGAGACCAGCCTGGTCAACATAGCGAGACCCTGTCTCTACAAAAAATAAAACCAAAAAAATGAGCGAGGCACATGCCCATAGTCCCAGCTACTTGGGAAGATGAAGTGAGAGGATCACCTGAGTCCAGAAGCTCAAGGTTGCAGTGAGCCCAGATTGCACCACTACACTCCAGTGTGCATGACAGAGGAAGATGCTGTCTCTAACAAACATAAAATAAAATTTAAAACCTCATTAGTAATCAGGGGAAAGCAAATTAAAATGCCAGTGAGATACTATGCATAATATAACTAAAAGATTGACCCAAATCAAAAAGTCTGATAATATAAAGTGTTGATATGAATGCAGAAAAATGGGAACTCTCATACTATGCTGGTGAAAATTAAACTGGCAAAGTAATTTTGAAGAGCGGTTTGACAATATCTAAAAAGATGCACATATCCTATGACCCACTCCTGGGACGTTATGCCCCAGAGTAGCTTTGGCACATATACTACTGGTCACAAGTTCATGACAGATGACGGCAGCACTGTTCGTAATAGCATAAAAGAGCAGGGGAGAAAGAAAAGCCTGGAAACAATCCAATGTCCACTGACAAATTGAGAACACATATATAAATCATGATGTCCTCATAGGATATAATGTTATGCAGTAATACAAATAAATGAATTATAACCACCAAGCATAAACTTGGATGAATCTCGCAACCAAAGTAGAGCCAAGGAAAAAAAAAAAAAAGCCAAGTTCCAGAATTTCACTGCAGACTGCCTGAGACTACTAGACACCCTGAGGACTTCCTAGTGACCCCTAGTGACTACGAGGAACCAGTCACCCAGTATGATTCTATTTCAATGATGTTCAAAAAGCAGGAAAAACTAAACAATGGATTGTTTTGAGAGCTACACATATGTGATAAGCTACAAACAAAAGTAAGGAAGTAAGGGATCAATGGACAGAAAATATAGAATATGGACTGTGCAGGAACAGGGGCTGCCATGGGGAGGGGCACACAGGGGCTTCTAACTCTTGGTCAGGCTCTATTTATTCAGCTGAGTGACTGCTACACGGCGGAGTTATTTTGTCATCATTCTTTACATTGTACATATATATTAAACACATTGTTACACGGATATAAGGTAACAGTTTTTGTTTTTTTTTTTTAATTCCCATCTTTGATGCAGACAGTATTGAAGAGCTAGAGGAGGATGCCTCTGCAAGTGCCCTTGCTTGGCGCCTACCACTCCTCAGTCACCCCGGGGTGTCACACTCACCAGCAATCACAGCCTCACACACATTATGAGGACTGACAGGCCTGGAGATGTCACATATACAGCCCAACACTGCCACAGCCACATGTAAGGACCTGCACATGTTCACATCCGCAGCTGCCCCTGCAGTTACAGTCGCCAAGCCACCCAGGTGCAAGGACATGCACCATCCTTAAAGACACAATGCAGCAGAGAGACATCATGGCTCCTCTCCTCAGGATGACACAGCTCCACAAAGAAACAGAGAGAAACAGTCTCAGGAACACGCAAATGAAATCCCAGGCACTTGGTCCAACAGAACCACTACGGAATGTGCACACGGAGATGCGAAGACCACTCCCTCTCAAACAAAAACGAAATCACAGAGAGAGTGAGAGAGAGAGAGACGCCCATAGGCCATGCCAACACACATATAAAGATTCATAAATATACACACGGTGTCACCGAGAAAACAATCGGGCCCACAGAAGAATCGCGCACAGAAGTATTCCGGTGTCACACACACTACACACCCAGACGCACCACGGCACCTTTGTAGGACACTTGGAAGCGCTCAAACCAGAGACCGCACACTTTCAAGGACACGACACCTCCACACCGCTGTCCTCACATCACACGCACACACACCGATGCGCGCGCGCCCTTTCTTAAAGCGCCTTAGTGCCGTGGAGAGCCTCACAGGCACCGGGCTCGGAAAGGTGGGCAGGGCAAGGTTACCGGCGGCGCCCGGGACAACGCCACCCGCACAGGCAGAGACCGAGTCAGGTCTCAGGTGTGCCGGCGTGGCCTGGGCGCGGACCGGCGGCCGGAGCCCAGGCCACCCTCGTCGATCTCTCCGCACGTACTGGGAGCCGGCTTGGGCGAGGATGAGGTGGCGCAGCCCCAACTCCAACCCTCGCCGGTGGCATCCTCCCCCAACCCCACCCCGCGCCGGACTGGAGTCGCACCTTTACCGGCCGCGCGCAGAGCGCGGAGGGCGGCTGAAAGAGGCCCAGCAGCAGCAGCACCAAAAGGCCGACGCCCCCGGCCCGCGGCCCCCAGAGCAGCGGCGACCCCGCCATGCTGCCCCAGCGAGCCGGGCTCCGGACGGGCGAACTGGCTGGCAAGTGCGCAGTGCCGGGGCGAGCTGGCGAGGCTGCGGCGCTCTGCGGCTGCGCACGCCCGGAATCAGGGCCCCCCCTACCCCCCCACCCTCCACCCGACGCAGGCGCAGCCTCGGGGAACTGGCAGCCCCTCCAGACCTCCCGTCGCCATGGAGATGCCCAAAGGGCAAGGTGGAGAGCTGGCGGTTGCCATGGCAGTCGGAGGGCAGTTGCTGGGGCAACCGACCTTACAGTTACCTTGGCAGACAGGAAAACAGGCAAGAAAAATGGACTCAGTGGAGTGAAATGGGGGTCTGGTCCTCATCTCTCTTCCTTGGGGAGGAGATGGACTTTAGTTTGTTCATTAGATAAATAGTTAATGGATCACCCGCAGTGGGCCCGGCCCGCGCCAAGGGAGATGGTTTCAATCTAGGTGATGTGACCATGGACAGCTCAGTTTGCCATTCTAAGGCTCAGGCTCTCAGAGGCATAAAGGGGTTATTACTGACAGCCTCCCTCAAAGTGACCTTGTAGGTTTAGAATGACATTCAGTAGGAGCTCAATAAATGCTCCTTTCCATTCTCTCCTTGTCTCTTTGTCTTTTTTTTTTTTTTTTCTGACAGGGTCTCACTGTGTCCTCCAGGCTGAGGGCAGTGGCCAGATCTCAACTCACTGCAATTTCCACCTCCAGGGTTCAAGCAATTCTCATGCCTCAGTCTGCCAAGTAGCTGGGACTACAGGTGCCCACCACCACGCCTGGCTAATTTTTGTATTTTGGTAGAGATGGGGTCTCGCCATGTTGCCCAGGTTGGTCTCCAACTTCTGAGCTCAAGCAATCGGCCCTCCTCAGCCTCCCAAAGTGCTGGGATTACAGGTGTTGAGCCACCATGCCTGGCCCTGGCCCAATACTTTCATTTCTCCATGGCTCTCTGTGTTTCTCTTTCTGTCCTTATGTGCCCACAGCTCTCTCTGTGTCTTCCTCTCCCCATATGTCTCTCCCTGTCTATGACTTTCTCTCCTTTCATCTCTCCAACCCCTGTCTTGTCTCTGTCTTTATTTTACTGTCTATATCTACTTGTTTTCCGTAGATAGATATATACATAGATACATATATACATAGACTTTACCCATATATTGTTCCAGAAATAAGTTCAAGTCACTGAAATGACACATCAAAGCAAACAAGATCTTGAAAAAATGTGTATCCATAGGGCAAAAAATGTTGGGGAGGGAATGTTAACAATGGTTATCTCTGGGGAGGTAACTAATGGTTTGTTACTTTCTCCTTTATACTTTTCTATTGTCCGAAAAAAGAAAAAGTTACAATAGGCCAGGCTCGGTGGCTCACGCTTGTAATCCCAGCACTTTAGGAGGCCGAAGCGGGTGGATCACCTGAGGTCAGGAGTTTGAGACCAGCCTGGCCAACATGGTGAAGCCCCGTCTCTACTAAAAATACAAAAATTAGCCAGGCCTGGTAGCACATACCTGTAATCCAAGCTACTCAGCAGGCTGAGGCAGGAGAATCACTTGAACCCGGGAGGCGGAGGTTGCAGTGAGCCGAGATTACACCATTACACTACAGCCTGGGTGACAAGAGCGAAACTCCTTCTCAAAAAAAAAAAAAAAAAAAGAATCAAATAAAAAAGAGTACAGATACTTTCATTTTGGAATTAAAACAAAATATGAAAACATGGCATAAATTTAAAGGGATGAAAAGAAAGATCCATTCATGGTGCTGTGGATGTATCTATCTAACCCATTGACTCTAACTGCCTTCATCTTGATAGTGTTACAAACAACTTTACAATGAAAATCTTTGTATAAATCTTTTTGTGAACCTGAAGATCATATCCACAGGAATGGTGTCATCAAAACACACTTAAGATGGCCCCCATGATTCCTCCCATCTGGCGTTCACATGCTTGCATAATCCCCTGTCCTTGAGTTTGTGCATGACCAAGGGTGACTGACTGTATGCCATTACATGTATGTGATCATATTAAAAATAAGGTTGAGGCTAGGCATGGTGGCTCACGCCTGTAATCCCATCACTTTGGGAGGCCGAGGCGGGCGGATCACATGAGGCCAAAAGTTCGAGACCAGCCTGGTTAACATAGTGAAACCCCATCTCTACTAAAAATACAAAAATTAGCTGGGCGTGGTGGGGGACATCTCTAATCCCAGCTACTCAGGAGGTTGAGGCATGAGAATTGCTGGAACCCAGGAGGCAGAGGTTGTAGTAAGCCAAGATTTCACCACTGCACTCCAGCCTGAGCCTCAGAGTGAGACCCTGTCTCAAAAACTAAATAAATAAATAAGGTTGGAATGACCACGTTGTGGAAGACTCTCACTGCCTTGTTGGCTTAAGCAAGTGGCCACTTTGGGGAACCTTAAACTCTAGGAAATGAGGGTGGCTTCCAGTTGACATCCAACAAGAAACTGAAACCCTCAGTCTTATGACTGTAAGAAACAGAATACTGCCAAGAACTCCAGTGAGCTTGAAATTGGATCCTTTCCCAGGGAAGCCTCAAATGAGACAGCAGCCCTAGTGGACACCTTGATTTTCAGCTTCTGAGACTATAAGCAGAAAATCCAGCTAAGCCACACCCTGACTCCTGATCCACAGAAACCATGAGATAATATTGCATGTATATAGTTTAAAAGCTGCGAACTTTGTGGTAATATTCTTTTTTTTTTTTTTTTTTTGAGGCGGAGTCTCGCTCTGTCGCCCAGGCTGGAGTGCAGTGGCCAGATCTCAGCTCACTTGTAAGCTCCGCCTCCCGGGTTCACCCATTCTCCTGCCTCACTCCCCAAGTATCTGGGACTACAGCGCCTACCATCTCGCCCAGCTAGTTTCTAGTTTTTTTTGTATTTTAGTTAAGAGACGGGTTTCACCGTGTTAGCCAGGATGGTCTCGATCCCTGACCTCGTGATCTGCCCTCCGGCCTCCCAAAGTGTGGATTACAGGCTTGAGCCCACCGCGCCGGCCTGTGGTAATATTCTTTACACAGCAATAAAAATTAGTCTGACTAGATAAACCTCTATGGAAAAAGTTAAAACTCCATTAAAGGTATAAAAGAGGCCGGCCGCATGTGTGCTCAGCCTGTAACTCCCAAGCACCTTTAGGAGGCTGAGGCGGCAAATCACCGAGGGTCAGAGTTCAAGTACCACCTGGGCCAACATGTGAACCCCATCTCTACTTGAAAATACAAAATTAGCCAGACATGCGGTACACGTCCTGTATTGCAGGCTACTCAGGAGGCTGAGGCAGGAAAATTGCTGAACCTGGCAGGCAGAGGTTGCAGTGAGCCGAGATCGGCCACCGCATTCCAGCCTGGGTGACAGAGCCAAGACCTCTTCTCAAAAACGAAAAAAGAATCATCTGAATAAATGAAGACGCCAATGTCATGTTCCTGATGAGGCAATTTCGTTTTTATAGAAGTCAAGTCTATCCAAAACTAACTATATCTAATCTATTAATTCAATTTAAATCCCAGCTGAATATTTTAAAGAAAACAATTAAATGTACTTTTTGATTTTGTTTATTTGTAATCCTCTCCTTCGTAAAAATGATTGTTTTGTTGGTGGGTTTCTGTTGTTGTGTTTTGTTTTTTGGTTTTGGTTTGTCGTGCGGTTGGATGGGCGTTTTTTGTTTGTTATTTTGGTTTGTTTTTTTGAGACAGGGTCTCACTTCTGGTGCGGTGCAGTGGCAACCAACCGCTCACCAACCTCCACGTCCCAGGCCAAGCAACCTCCCCTGCTTTCTGCGGCTGTTGGCCACCAGCCGCTGATTTTTGCTTTTTTGAGAGACGGGTTTCACCCTTGTTGCCGTGGTCTTGAACTCCTGGCCAAGTGACTCCCATTTGGCCTCCAACCCCAGGATTACCGGCATGAACCACCACACCCTGGCCCATAGGTTAAACTACTCACGAGCAATCCATGCAACAATTTGTACAACCAATGGTCAAAGCAGCATTATGTTTTATTTATTTATTTATTTTATATTTATTTGATCGGAGTCTCGCTCCTGTGGCCCGGCTGGAGTGGAAAGTGCCCGGATCTCAGCCACTGGCAACCCCGCTCCCGGTTTACCGCCATTCCTCCCTGCCACAGCCTCCCGATCAGCGGCTACACAGGCGGCCACACCTCGCCCGCTGTTTTTTGTATTTTTATTAGTCAGAGACGGGGTTTCCACCGTGTTAGCCAGATCGGTCTTGATCTCCCTGACCTCGGATCCGCCCATCTCGCTCCAAAGTGCGGATTACCAGACTTGAGCCACCGCACCCGGCCCAAAGCAGCATTATTTATAATAGCAAAAAGTGGAAACAACCCAAATGTTCATCAGTAGATGAACAGATAAGTAAAATGAGGTTTCTCCGTATAGTTGAATATTATTCAGCCATAAAAAGGAATGAAGTGAGGTCAAGTGTGGTGCCGTAATCCCAGCACTTTGGGAGGCCAAGGCAGGCAGATTACTTGAGGCCAGAAGTTCGAGACTAGCCTAGCCAACATGGTGAAACCTTGTCTCTACTAAAAATATAAAAATTAGCTGGGCATGGTGGTGCACACTTGTAATCTCAGCTACTCAGGAGGCTGAAGCAGGAGAATCGCTTGAACCTGGGAGGCATGGGTTGCAGTAAGCAGAGATCGCACCACTGCACTCCAGCCTGGGCAACAGAGAGAGACTCTGTCTCAAAAACAAAAAACAAAAAGCAAAAAACAAAAAATGAGAATGAAGTGCCGATACACGTTACAACATGGATTAATCATGCACAAGGAAGAATATTGATGTGAATGCACACATCACAATTTACAGATTCTGCTTAATGAAGACCCCATATGAAAAGTAACAGATATGCCAGGTTGGGAAATGATATTTGCTCTGTCTGAAATGACAAGAGGTTAAACAAACAGAATAGAAAAGACTTTGAGAAATCAAAAAGAAAAAGACAGGCGCCCCGAGGACAAATGGATGAAAGATAAAACAGGTGGGACATGGTGGCTCACGCCTGTAATCCCAGCACTTTGGGAGGCCGAGGCAGGCAGATCTCTTGAGGTCAGGAGTTCAAGACCAGCCTGGC